GGCGGAGGGGGGGGAGGGTCGGAGAGGGGAGGGGGCCTGTGCTTTGCAGCTTGCTCAGATGGGCACAGCAAACCCCTTACCCACATTGCACAGCCCCACTCCCCAAAATCCCTCCCATCCTTTTCCCATGCTGTGCACGGGCACGGCCTAGGATGGGGCAGTTGTGGAGAACTGCCTCGTGCTGTGCTCAGGCACACTGGGTATATTTTGGGTGGGCACAGCTCATCCAGTCTCTTGCAGCTCAGCCTCCACAGGACCTTGGTGCTCAATGCACCACATCGCGTGCTTGCCTGCAGCAATGCTCAGTGCAACCCATGGTCCTGCATGGCCTGCAGCTGTTCCCATACAGACGGGGAACCGGATGCACCTAGCATTAAGGCAACGCTCCCCCAAACCCAGTCAGAGCAGGCTGGGCTGGGGGCCATGTGTGACTACTGTGCCCTCTCCCAGCAGGCCCTGCTCATGGCGACGGTGATGATGCAGTTGAGCGGCTTGGTACTGGCCATGCTGGGCTGGCTGGGCACTATCCTCACTTGCGCACTGCCCATGTGGAAGGTGACAGCCTTCATCGGCTCCAACATCGTGGTGGCCCAGGTCTTCTGGGAAGGGCTGTGGATGAACTGCGTGTATGAGAGCACGGGGCAGATGCAGTGCAAGGTGTACGACTCACTGCTGGACCTCTCCTCCGACCTGCAAGCGGCCCGTGCCCTTGTGATCACCTCTATCATTGTGGCCTTCTTTGCCTTCCTCACCGCCATCATGGGTGCCGACTGCACCCGCTGCGTGGATGACAAGGGGGCCAAGATGAGGATCTCCATCGTGGCAGGTGCTATCTTCATCGTGGCTGGCATTGTGCTGCTCATCCCTGTGTCCTGGTCTGCCAACACCATCGTCAGCAACTTCTACAACCCCATGGTACCTGCGGCGCTCAAGAGAGAGCTGGGGGCTGCCCTGTACATAGGCTGGGCCTCCAGTGCCCTCCTGCTCTTCGGTGGAGGTATCCTGTGCTGCTCCTGGCCCCCGGCCCAGCAGGATCCCTACCCCAAGAAGTACAGAGCAGTGAAGACCTGCTCAGACCCTATGAGCTATCCCATGAAAGACTACGTGTGAGATGCCCTTCCTGGGCAAAGCTGTTCCCCGCCCAGCCCTCCCACTCAGTTGCAGGGCCCCAGGGCTGCCAGTTCAAAGGAAAACACCACTGAGCCTGGGGGTGGTGGTTTATTGGGTTCCCATTCCACCCCAGAGCTCCCATCTCCCCATGTCCCTCCAGCCCCCTTCCTACCATGCACAGCCTCCTCCTGCCCCATCCCACTCTCAACCCCACCGACGGTTAGGCCATCGCCCTCCTGCCCCGCTCTGCCACATGCAGGCCCCTATTTCCCTGCAGGGTGAGGGGGCAGCCAGATCCTGCTCACTCTCTGCTATCCCCATGGCAGCGCCACTGCGGCCCCCCATGGGACACAGCCACACGTGGGCAGGAGGCTGCTCTCCTCGGATACTGCTGGCTGCTCCTGGCTCATTTATAAACATCTTGGTGCCCCTGAGGCTGTCTAGGCTTATTTCAAACGGGTGGAGGAGGGAGGATGGTGATATTTCCTACTGTTTTTCCAGCTCCAGGACACCTGCTGCTAGCTTGGGAGCTGGCCCAACACACGGCATGCCACATCACGGGCGAGTGATTCACATGCACGCACATCCTCATTGGCCTTGAGCTCGTGCCTGATGAGGATCTATGGCAAGCCAGGGCACTCCCCCTCCACATGCAGTTCCCTCACTGTGCACTCTAGCCTTGTGGGCAGGTGATGCCTCCAGCTGGCCTGAGGAGCAGGGAAACTGAGGCAGGAAGCGGGCAAGGGGAAGCCAGAAGGCAGGACGCCAGGCAGCCCCATCACAGCCTCCCCCAGCTGCAACAGGCTCAAGGGCTGGCCCTGGCAGGATCACAGCTCCCTGCCACACAGAGCTCAGCATCACAGCTGGCTCCAGTCATCCTGACTCCAGGAGCTGGGAAGTGATCAATCCTGCTAGCTGAGATAACTAGACCAGAAAAGGCCCAGCAGGTGCCCAGGGCCCAGAGAAAGGCTGAGACTAACAGAGTTCCTAGCCCCCTTCCCGTCCCCACGCCACAGCATGCAGGAGAGCCGGCGGCCCCAGTGCTCAGAGAGCAGTAGATCCAGGCAGACAGCAGAGACAGAGCATTTATTTGACAAGCCAAGCATGGGACTGGGACAACCACATCTCCCAACCACCTGCCTGACTTGATGCCTAGAGGATAGTGTCCAGGTAATATAAGAAGAAAAAAAAAAAAAAAAAAAGAAGGTCAAGGAAAGCAGAGCAGGGCAAGCAGCTGCCTGCAGGGCAGTGGGGGCTGCCACCAACCACCACAGCATGCCTCAGCCCCAAGCTGGTGGCAGGCACAGCTGTGCCAGCAGCACCCACACGTGGCACTGCACTGGGAAACCCTGGGCACAGGACTGGAACCAGCCAGCTAGAAAGGACCTGAGGGTTACATGCCATCTGCTCCTGTTTGGGCTGGGATCTGCAACTACTGGAGAATACAGGGAAGGCTGAGCATGCCTCTGACATGGGCCTGGCTTCAGCTGGAGACACGGCAATGCCCAGGACACACACAGCCCCAGAAGCATTCAGGTACTTTTAAGGCTGAGGGACAGACTTGAGGGCTTTCTGGGCTGAGCTCCCAAGGGGTTTCAGCTGTACCAGGGTAGAAGCAGAGTGAACACAAACTGCTAGACGCTACCGAGAAAAAAATGGAGCAGCTCAGCCTGAACTGCAGAGATACACAACTATCATCTGCAACTGGGAAAGATCTTAGAGGAAGGAGATAACCTGTTCTCCATGTCCATGGGAACAGGACAAGCAGTAACAGGCCTAAAAACCAACCAAACAAAAAATCCCAGAAAGAGATTTGAGTACAAAACTTCCCAAGAAAGCACTCAAAGAGGAGGGAGTGGAAGCACCACCACCGGGGGCTTGGGGAACAGGCCAGGCAAGCAAGGAGATGGGCACGGCCTGGCAGAGCCGGCTCTTGGGTAGGGAGCAGCCACCAACCTCCTGAGGTTTCCTCCAGCCTTATTTTTCCATACAGACCAGAAACTGCCAAGTTGTAGGAAAATGAGAGCTTAGGCAGCTATTGAGGGGGATGAAAGACTGGATGTGGTGCTTTGAAAGCTGCTTTAGGCTGGGTGTTCCACTGGCATAACCAGTCCTGGTTCAGACTCCAAGGCCTCCTGCCCTTCAGGGTATGTCCCACTGTAGTCACTAGCTTAGTTCTTGGTGGAGATGAGGGCCCAGGGAGGACGAGGAAGAAGACTGCAGCATGTGGTGATGGGGACACACCAGCAATGGTACCCAGCTGGGGCTCAAGAGGGGATAGGGTGGGAAAATGAAGAAGGATCCAGAGTTTGACCACAGCCATATGGGAGGGCTGAGAAGTAGACAACACGGTGAAGACAGAACCCAGACAGGAGACAGCTCTACGCAGCCAGACAGATCTGAGAGATGTCACAGCAAGGATGGGAACCAAGGTGCTGCAGAAGACACATGAACATCAGAGCTAAAGCCTAGGATACCCAGTGAAACTTGGAGAGCCTCCCCAAGCTGAGGAGCAGTCAATGTCCCCAAGGCTCTGACCCCATGGAAGGAGCCAGTGAAGGTGAACAAGGGAAGTTTTGGCAGTGAGCAGTTCCTCAGGAGTCAACAGGAACCATTTCAGGGCTATGAGCTGGGCAGAGTTCAGATGAGCTACAGAAGAGGCTCTAGCAAAGGAGCACATCTGCAAGCTGGGGAAGAAGGGGACAGACCTCCAAGAACAAAGCGCTCAGACAGGCAGGCGATGTGAGGAAGTGCTGAATGCAGGAGGTTCAAAGTTCTGATGGCACCCCAGAAATATCATCCCCCCCACAGCTGAGGCCTTGCTCTGGGAAGGGGTTGCTTGGCTGAGTAGGGTGGAAGGCACACAAAACAGTGTGAGATGTTACAAGGGCCAAATGCTCAACCTCCCTTCCCCAAGCCATTTCGGACCCTTAATCCTCCTCGACAGGCGTGACCGGACGCTTTCGATAGACATAGACCACCCCAGAGATGTAGCCTGTGCCCTGAGTGCTCTCCTCCTTAGATGTGGCCCTCTCCCACTGGTCTACTTCCCGGGCCGAGACCTTCTCCCACGCGCCTTGCTGCTCCAGGCTGTCCAGCACTCCCTGCAGCTCAGCCTTGTACCGCAGGTTTGAAACATTGCTCCTCGTTGTCAGGCACAAAAAACCTCCTGCCAAGAGAGAAGCAGGTCAGGCAGGGAAGGGTCTGGTGTATGCTGGTGCCCAGGCACAGCCGCTCTCCTACCTGGGGCACGAGTGCACCTTGGGGAGGGGGGCTTGATACCCCACAGAGGTGTCCCCTGGAAAGGGGGCATGGGGGGGGGGCAGGAGGGCACAGGGCATGGGGCCAAGCAGCACCCAAGCTGGGGCACCACAGCCAGCAGGGCATGAGGCCAGCAGGCAGGCAACAGGCAGGACATCGCTCCCAAACCAGGCCCCAGCCAGCAAGTAGGGACAGAGCTGCCACCAGGCAAGGATCAGGGTACCAACACACACCCCTGCACAGGCCTTGAGACAGGGACAAGGCCACAGGCTGGCCCCATACCAGATACACTGCACAGGACCAGGTGCCCCATCCCACCCTGCTGCAGGCATGACCCACCCCACAGGGCAGGGCAACCCCTCAGCAGATCCCCCAGGGGACCAGGAGCCTCACCTGGCTTGGTGACACGGAGCAGCTCCGGCACAGCAGAGCAGGGCACCTGCCCCTCGCCAAGCGCTCCCACCACCATCACGGCATCGTAGTGGTCTGTGGGGACAGCAGCACGGGTCACCGGGGCCGAGGGGCAGCCCATCCCTGGGGGGCTCACACAGGCCCCAGCCCAGGGCTCCCCAGCAGCCTCCCGTTACCTGCAGGCCCGGGCAGGGACTCCCTGCCCAGGACACAGCACCGCAGCTCCCGGTAGAGGCCGGTGGCCCGCGCCCGCTCCAGCATGCCCGCACTGCCATCCCCG